ACCCTCCGCAGCTCCGACGCCTCTCCTCCTCCTCTTGACCGTCATGGCTTGGGCGGGAAAGCTTGTCCCCTGCCTCAGCCCCCCCAGCGGACATCTCCACCCCTCTTTGCCAGATCCCCGAGCTCGCCGAGGAGGAAGAGCTGCCCCAGCATCGACGCCTCCTCGAGCGCGTCGAGCTTCGGTCGCACCCCCAGCAGCGGCAGCCTCTCCGTCAAGCCCAGGCTGTCAAGCGGGAGCCGCTTCTACGCCAACATCGTGAGGACGGAGCAAGGGTCGTCAGCGTCCGTCCGGCGGCACTCGTTTCACGGCGGACAGCAGGCCTTGGAGGTGCGAGCTGCGAGGGGAGAGCAGGCGGGGCCAGGGAGAAGCCCGAAGGCGGAGACGATCGGGAGGATGCCGTCGTGCCCTGAGGGGACGGGGAGGGAGGAGAGCTTGACGGGGACGCTGATGATACGACGATCGCCGTCATCGGGCGGGCCGGGGCAAGAGAGGTGTGGGACAATGGAAGGGGAGGGCAGGATGAGGAGGATGTCGGAAGGGTGCGCGGGGAGGACTCCGGGAGTCAGCCGCATGAAGGGAGGGAGGGATGGAAGTAAGGTACGATAAAGGTACAAACGATTCAAGTTTTCAATTCTCAGCTGGTGTGCTGAAGTGAGAAGATTTTCAAGAAGGAGAAGAGCAGGGGAGAAAGAACACCACGATGAAGTGAGAAGATTTTCAATTCAAGCTTGAGAGCGAAATGAGGAGGAAAGCTAAGGTATGATCAGCTTCAACAACCACAAAGACAGTCCAAGACTGTGATCCTCTGCAGCAACTTCAACCAAATCCAATGTCTCAAACTTCTTCTCGCTCTCTAGGATCGACGAAAACTCTCTTCTTCTCCTGTTGTGCAAACCTGCGTTGAATCATCTTCATATCACTACTCCATCTGCTGTTGAAAGCTTTGCAGTGCGACGAAAATAACGCGCTGGTGCGGGCTGGTGGGAGAGCAGCTGGGAAGGTCGAGCGACAAGGGGTACGTACTGCCGTCAGTTCCCAGTGGGGGCGAAGGGAGGAAACCATGATAGCTGGGAGATGTGCGGCCCGGCCCTGCGCCTCCTTGAGCAGACGAGGGACACTCTGATCGTATTGCTGCTGTGAATGCATGTAGACGTGTACTTGTCCGCTTGATCTCTGCACATCGCCAAGCCTCAGCAGTCGGAGGGAGGAGATGGTATGTGACATCCTTCTTCTCTGCTTCATCATGCTTCCCCCTCCCCCGTCCGACTGCTTGGGCTCCATAGCACCCGAGTAGTGCTCATGGTTAGGACAAACCAGCGTTTTCTCAAGGGCTACAAGGGTCATCCTGACACTGCAGGTACACGTTGCGTTGTGCAGAGATCAAGCGGACAAGTACACGTATACATGCATTCACAGCAGCAATACGATCAGAATGTCCCTCGTCTGCTCAAGGAGGCGCAGGGCCGGGCCGCCATTGAGTCTACAGATCTCCCAGCTGTCATGGTTTCCTTCCTTCGCCCCCACTGGGAACTGACGGCAGTACGTACCCCTTGTCGCTCAACCTTCCCAGCTGCTCTCCCACCAGCGCCTTCACCACCTCCACCGGCACCCTCATGTGACTTTCTCCCTTGACTCGCTCCACGTCCCTGGACCTGTCGAAGCCGCACCAGCGCGTCACATTGTGGATGTAGCGAAACCAGATCTCAGTCTCGTTTCCCTCGTCGACCCTCCCGTCCATGTAGATGCGGCATGGCGTTACCAGCGAACGGTCCCACGGCATCCAGATCGCGTTCATCGTGTCGCTCCCCGGCAGTGACACCAGGACGTCCGTCCGAGACATGAGCGCGAGTTGCTCCTTGCTGCTCATCGTCGACCAGTCAGCGACCAGGACTGCGACTCCAAGGCTCTTCACAGCTGCCACGACTTCCTCTGTGTTGACTAGGCGCACAGGGTTGAGAGCCTTGCGACCTTTTCGCGTCACAACAACCTGGGCGACTTCAGGTCGTGCTCGCTCGCTTATGCCGTGCAGCTCCATGGCAAGGAGGCGAAAGCGTCGGACGTTGACCTGGAAGGGAGGAAGGAACTTTGGCCTGCACGTTACGCTCCTTCCATCCCCGCACGAGTGTCCTAACGCATACCCGAGGTGGGCAAGGCCGAAGACGACAGTCTCCATGCACAAGAAGCCCCCGTGCTGGTTGATCACGGTCCCTACTGTCCACACAGGCCGAGCGTTCACGAACTCGAACACGTCAGCGTTCAGCGCGTCCTCGTGGAGGATGACCTGCATGTTCCGGTACTCTTCCTCCATCCCCCACAAGCTCAGCGCCTGGAACATCGCCCACACTTCATCTCCCAGCACATGCCCTCTGTTGTGCGCAAAATATCGCCCTACCAGACCGTACACTCCCTTCAGGAAGACGCACCCCTCGCATTCCCCCGCGGACCCATCCACTACCAGAGCCTCTTCAGGGGTCGAGTAGGGTGGGTACTTGGCTGCCAAGTACGTCGTGAAGGAGACGTCTTGGTCGCTGGAGTCGAAGACCCTCAGAGTTCGTGACGTCACGTCCCAGCAGACGTTGCGGGCCACGCAGCTCTTGATCCCTTCGTGCTCCTCGCACTTCACCCACGAGCTCCACCGACCAGCCTCTGCCTGCTCTCCGCATGCGAGCATGCGGAACGACCAGCAGCCCCGTCAGTCGCTGTCTCTGCATCCTCCTCGCACTTTGACTCACATTTTTTCCCTCCTCCTTCTCCTCCTTCGGAGGTGATACAAGCTTACTCAGCCGCCATGCTTGAACCTGCCCCAATGTCATCCTCCCCTCAACTTCTCCCTCTCCCTACCGCGCTCATGCTTATCACCTCCTCTAGTTCCCTCCTCGACATCCCCTGTAGCCGTCAAGCTTCTCAGTCCTCCTCCCTCCTCCCTCCTCACCATCGCACACCGCAAGCTCAGCCCCCGTCACGTCGCTTCTTCTCAGCGCCTCCACCGTCGCTTCCTCTGCCTGCCGGCACTCCAGCCATGTAACAGTCTCTGCCGCATCCAGCTGCACTAGGCTCCTCCTCTCAAGCGCCCAACAGCTCTCCGCCTGACCATGACGAGGCTTGCCAAGCTCCCCGGGCTGGCCTATGAGCTGCAGGTCAAGCAGCGCTAATGGGAGAGGAGCGGTTACCTGCAGCTAACAGGAAGGGCAGGACGAGGAGGGGAGCGAGGTTGGCAGGTTTCATACAAGTCGCCTAGCGATGCAGTACACCATACATCGCAGAAGGTTGTTGGAGTGGTTGCTTCATTTCACAGTTGTTCGTTCCCCTGATGTCCAGTCCAGTCACACTCCTTTATGCTCTTCTGTCTCCCGTCTCATCTTTCCTCTTAAATTTCTTCGTTCTTCTCCCGATTCTTCTCTCCTCGTTTTTTGGCACATCTCACCTCAGCAGTTTCATTCTCTTTCTGTCTCTCCTCGTCACTTTCTTTATATCCAGTGTACTCTCCCCTCCCCTCCCCTCCCCTCTCCTCCCCTCCCCTCCCCTCGGCTCTGCTCTCCCAACCCCTCCTCTCCCCTTTCCCCTCCCTTCTCTGCTCTGCTCCTGCCCCCTCCCCCGCCCTCTTCTCTTCTCATCCCATTTTACTCGTCTCTCCTGATTGTCCTCGTACTGATTTTTAACTTAACTTTGAGTAA